TGAAAGAGCAGTGCATTTTGGATTGTCGTTGCGCTCAATTAGTTTTAGTACAGCTATTTCTGTTCCTGGTTTGATGCCACACCCCACCTGTTTCAAAATATCTTCATCGCTCAGAGGATTTTGCTTCCAGCGGATTTTAGACGCGACGCGTTTTAGCGTGTTGCCTATGACAATTGGTCTCAACCTTTTGTCTATGTTTATGAGGGCCATAAGCATTGTGCCAAAATGAAAGGATTATTTCATCCAAAACGGTTCCTGATCCGTTCGGAAAGAGCATTAGCGCTAAGTATAGATCCAATCCAGTTACGAATCCTTATCTATAAAGTTTGACTCTTGAGCGTCCACTTCTTTTCGGTTGCTCCAAAAAATGAACGGAAAAATGTTTAAAAATTGAATTTTTTACATTCTAGAAGAACCGTTTGGTGAAAAATTTAAATTTTTTGAGGCAAGCTAATTGAGCTTCAAAAGAATTCAGGTTTAGCCATAGGTTGAAACGCTTAGAGAAAAGCCGAATTTTTGAGCAAGCTAAACAAACTATGAAAATTTCTAAATTTCAAGTCAATTCAGAGTCCAAATTGGTTGATAAAAACCTTCAACTCGAGGCAAGCTTTTTAAGCTATGAATCTTTGAAACAATTTAAGTTAAGTCATTGACTATTTTTTAGGCAAGTTAAACAAAAATAAAATTTTGCAAAAATGCAAGTTGTTTCATAGAACAAAATGGTTTTTAAAAATTTAAGTTTTTCCAAGAAAAATATTCAAGCTGTAATTAGGTTTTCTATGTCAAGCTATTCAAGCTAAAAAGTATGAAGTAGTTGAAGCTATTTTATAGATTTGTTTCTCAAAATCTTTAACTTTTTCTAATTAAGCTATTAAAGTTTTGAAACTTGGAGACATTTCACCTTATATGATAGACTGAATTGCTTCGTGAAAAAGTAAGTCTTTCAAAGTTAGCTATTTAAACTACAAAACTTGAAATTTTAAGTTATTCATGGACCAAATTGGTTGGACAGAATTCTTAGTTTTTCTAAGCTGGCTATCCAAACTATGAAAGTCTGAATTATTTCAAGTGACTTAATAGCGCTAATTGGTTCGTGAAAAACTAAAATTTTTTTATGCAAGCTTTTCAAGCTTTGAAACTTTGAAAAACTTCCAATTTTTTCATAGATCGCTTCGCTCTTGTAAGTTTGAAGTTTTTCTATACAAGCTCTTCAAGCTACAAAATTTTGAAACAATCCTAAATACTTCTTATACTGAATCAATTGGTTAAAAATTTATTTTTCTAGACAAACTATTTGAGCTTTGAAACTATGAAAATTTTGAATTTTTATAACAGATAGCAAGGTGTTCAGTTTATGAAAATTTGAAAAATTTCATGTTGTTTTATTGACCGATTCGCTCTTCTTACTTTGAAGTTTTTATAAGCAAGCTACTCAAACTATTAACGCTTGAAATAACTTAAGTTGTTTCATATAGTGAATTCTTTGGCGATAAGTTTAAATGTTTCTAGGCAAGCTATTTGAGCTATGAAACTATACAAAAACTTAAAACTATGTAATAGACTGAATTACTAAGAAAAAAATCAAGTTTTTCTAAGCCTGCTATTCAAGCTATCAATGATTAAAATGATTCAAGTTAATTCAAAGACTGATTCGGTTTGAAACATTTTTGGTTTTTTTAAGCAACCTTTTCAATCTATAAAACACTGAAATTTTTAAGCTGTTTCCTTGAGCCAATGGGTTCGGGAAAATTTAAAATTTGTCTAAGCAACTTCTACAAACTACGAAGTTATGAGCAAGGTTGTCAAGCTATGAAAACTGATTCAGTTCAAGTTAATTCCTACCGCAAATTGGTTCGTAAAAAGTTTTTCTAAGCAAGCCATTCAAGCTATGAAAACTTACAATAAATCAAGTTATTTTATAGACTCGGCTGCTAAAAATTTTAAGTTTCTATAACTTTTTAAAATACTTCAGGGAAAAGCCAAATTTTTTGAAAGCTAACTAAAAAAAATGCATAAATTGCAATGTTTCAAGTTAATTCAGAGACCAAATTGCTTGTTAAAAGCCTTAAAGTTTTTAGGGCAATCAGTTCAAGCTTTAAAGCTTAAAGAAAGTTCACGATTAATGATAGATTGGATCGCTTCTTGAAAAATTACATTTTCTAAGCAAGCTATTCAAGCTATCAAATTTTGAATTAGTTCAAGTTTTTTCATAGCTGCAACCGGTTCATGAAAAGTTGAATTTTTTCTAAGCAAGCTATACAAGCTATGAAAATTTGAACTTATCCAAGTTTTTTCATATTTTGAACCGTTTGAAGAAAAATTTAAATTTTTTGAGGCAAGCTAATTGAGCTTCAAAAGAATTCAAGTTATACCATAGGCTGAAACGCTTAGAGAAAAGCCGAATTTTTGAAGCAAGCTAAACAAACTATGAAAATTGCTAAATTTCAAGTCAATTCAGAGTCCAAATTGGTTGATAAAAACCATCAATTCGAGACAAGCTTTTTAAGCTATGAATCTTTGAAACAATTCAAGCTAAGTCATTGACTGAATTGGTGACAGAAAATCCATATTTTTTTAAAGCAAGTTAATCAAAAATTAAAATTTGCAAAAATGCAAGTTGTTTCATAGAATAAAATGGTTTATAAAAATATAAGTTTTTCTAAGCAAAATATTCAAGCTGTAATGTTTTGAACTATTTCAAATTATTTTATAGACCGAATCAAATAGTGAAAAAATTAGATTTTCCTAAGCAGGCTATTTAAAATATGAAACTTTTAAGCTATGAATCTTTGCAACAATTCAAGTTAAGTCATAGACTAAATTGCTGACAGAAAATCCATATCTTTTTTAGGCAAGTTAATCAAAAATTAAAATTTGCAAAAATGCAAGTTGTTTCATAGAACGAAATGGTTTATAAAATTTCAAGTTTTTCTAAGCAAAATATTCAAGCTGTAATGTTTTGAAGTCTTTCAAAATATTTTATAGACCGAATCAAATGGTGAAAAATTAGGTTTACCTAAGCAAGCTATTTGAAATATGAAACTTCTAGATATATAATAGACTGAGTTGCTTAGAAAAAAATTATGTTTTTAAGCAAGTTATTCAATCTAACAAAGTTTGCAGTTACTCAAATGTTTTTTCGGATTGTTAATCGTTTTAAATTTTTTTAAAGTTTTAAATTTTTCTAAGTAAGCTATTTAAGCTACGAAAACTTGAAATTTTTGGATTGTTATTCGTTAAAAGTTTTAAATTTTTCTAAGTAAGCTATTTAAGCTACAAAAATTTGCAATAATTCAAGTTATTTTTAGACTGAATTATTTATGAAAATGTTTAAGTTTTCCAAGTAAGCTATTTCCTCTACAAAAACATAAATTTTTTGAACTCTTCATAGACCGATTCGGTTTGAGAAAATGATTTGTTTTTCTAAGCAAGCTATTCAAGCTTTAAAACTCTGAACTTTTTAAACGTTATTCAAGAGCGCTAATTGGTTCGTGAAAAGTTAAAGTTTTTCTTAGCAAGCTCCTCGAGCTATGATAATTTGACATAATTCAAGTTATTTTATGTACCGAATCATTTGGTAAAAAACTAAACTTATTTTAACCAAACTGTTTAAGCTTTAAAACTTTGAAATATTTCAAGTTATTTCATAGACCGAATCATTCGTTAAAACTTCAAGTTTTTCTAAGTACGCTATTGAAACTTTGAAATAATGAAGTATTTCATGTTATTTGATAGCGCAAATTGGTTCGTAAAAACGTAAATTTCTTTCAGCAAGCTGTTCAATTTTTCTAAACAAACTATTCAAGTGATGAAGTTTTAAAATATTTCAAATTATTTCAAAAAAAAAACTTTCATAAAGGTTGATGATAATTCTGTAATTTTTTTTTCAGCAAGCTATTCAAATTATTTAATTTTAGAGTATTTCAAATGATTTAATAGACCGAATCTCCCGTGAAAAGTTTAGATTCTTATAAGCAAGCGATTTGAACTGTAAAACATTGAAATACTACAAATTAGCGTGAGTCGGTTTCTGAAAAAATTAGATTTTTCTAAGCACGGAGATTTCAGAGTCAGTTGATTCTTTTCAGACTGATATGACCCTGTAAACGTAAAGTTTTTGAAAGCTAAAAGGACAGGTACTGATTAGCCTTGAAGTTGAGTCGAGTTCATTGTGTTTAAATAGTTTCGGATTTTTTTTAAAAACATTTTCTAGAACGTTCAAGACTGAATGATTCTTATTATTTCTGAGTGTGTGTCCAAAAAACAAGAAAAAAAATATTTCCCTAAATTTTCGTAAAGTTTTTGATAACGCAGTTACTTTCACCTAATTAAAACTGTCACAAATGTGTTTTAATAGAATTGTAAACCAGTTTAAGATAATTTTTGAATATTTAATTTCAATAGAAAAATGTTTATTATAAAATATTTTTTATGGCAATCGTATGACTAGCAGTTTTTCCATACACTCCAAATATGAAATTGTATGATAGACATATTTTTTGTATCGACGTCCATCCGTGTAAATGGCTCAATCTCGCCGTTTTCACTCAAAAATTCGGTGATTCGAGGCGCATCCTGATCCGTGATGGTTGCCTGGGTCAAGGCCCCTTAAACCAGGAAAAATTCACCACGGTCCTACAAACTTTATTAAGTCGACCAAATTGTTTCTCCGAAATTTTAAGTCGACCAAAATGTTTTTCCGAGTTCTTTATAAAACAAAATAAAGACAACAAGATTTTCCGGCCGCTTTTTGGCATTTTTTTTAAGAAGTTTTTGACAAAACAAATGAATTTTTTGGCGCGCGCTACCCCTCAAAATGACCTGGAATTGGCGTTTCAAAAAATGTTGGGTCGTTCTGCCGAAATGGATGTCGTAAATGGGGACTCTTTGCTTTGTGAGGGGGTCGAATCCCTGAGAGGGGTCGTCCGACAATTCAAATATTTTTTGACCTCTGCTTTAAAAACAGTAACTTCGAATTGAATTCGTGAACCATCTTTTAAATAACTTTAACATACCGATAAACGAATGGGCGGAATAATATAAGATATGTACGAATGAAAAATCATTTGAAGACTTACAAAGAAGCAATTTTCAAGGCGATTATTTACACATATTTAACAGGATTGTTTTTGCCGCTATAAAAGTATGAACAAAAGTATGTACAATGATGGAATGGAAGATAATAAATTCACAGTTTAATGTTTTTTTTCACTCGAAATAAAATTCAACCGATTGTTCAGAGCACCTGAAATTTAAGTAAATTAGGGAAATAACTGCAGGTAAAATACTGCATAAATAATTGCAAAAGCATGAATTACTATTGTGTTCGCGAAATTGTGAATTTCAGCAGTGAAAAAGTTACATGGGAACAATTCAAATTTAGGGTAAAATTTTAACTCTAATTTATGGCGCGCTATTTTGTTTCTGTTCGAAAATAATGGAGGGAATTGAAGTTCTAGGGAGCTGAATTTTTGCCACTATCGTCAAATGCAATTATGCAATGTATGAAGGTAATGGATTCTATGCAACAGTTAATGATTTCAACGACTTGCATTTCAAACGACAAATGGATTGATATACAAACTTATGACCTCAATTTGACCATATTTCAACCTTGAGTAAAAGGTCATGTGAGAGGTCAGCTAGAAGTCGATTTGGGACTAATCGCTGTTTTCTGATTTGTTTCTAAAAGAGTTAAAGGTCACATTTTTCTTGTTGGTGGTGGCGCCACCGGAACCTCGCAAAGAGTGAGCAATACTGCCGTGGTGGTGGTGGTGGTGCGTCCCGGTAGCACTGCTGCTCATCAAGGATCCAGAGGCGGAGCTGCTGTGAGGCAAAGCAGAAGAAGAGACTGAGTTTGAGTTATGATTTATAACTAGGTCACCACAATCTAACAACCCATCTTCCTGAAACACAAACAAAATACTACGTCATACTTTCGAAACTAAACTTTTTTCAAAAAAAAAATCACCAACCAGAGGTTCCCCCTTTTGGTATTAATTGATGACATCCATTTCCAGCGACAAAATATACTAAATTGAGGGGGAGCGCGCGCCAAAAAACGCAAATTTTTGGTCAAAAAATTCCAGAAAGAGCCCAAAACGGCCTTATTGACCCGTTTTTTCAGTATTTTCAAAAAAATGCAGAAACTTTTATAAAAACGGGGTCTATATAGTGTTTTGGGAGTTCTCGGAAAATCAATTTGGTCGACTTAAGAAAAAGGTCGACAAAGTTATAGAATATTTTTTTTTTCAAAACGATATATTAATACTAACCCCGTATACTTGAGACATTTCTCTCTCCGATCTGCTGAAACACATTGAAAATATTCAAGTTGATTATCTCCTTAGAATCCATTCATTTTTTGGAAAACTCTAACAAACTTGTTCAATATCATTTCATTCAAAATTTTGGATTCAAAATGACTTTTGATGATATTTAAACACGCAGCAAAAAAATCAACCATTTTCAGAGGCTTAATTGATTTGTGAAATTAAATCAAAAATTTTCATACGTTGATTAGATTTGTTAAACTTCGTTTCACTTCACGATTATAATTTTAAAAATTATACAAAAATATTTATGCTTTTATTGAGCAGAACCCTACTCACGAGTCCCCGCCGCCTCCTCCTCCCCCTCCTGCCCCCGAGTTGAGTTCTATCTCCCCCAGCAAGTCCTGTGCGGAATGGAGACTCCTCTCCAGCACTGCTATCTCCTTCTGCTGTCTCTCTGTGATCTGTCTGAGAGAAGACAACTCCGCCTCCGTCCTCTCCTGCTTCGACCTCTGCAAGTCTATCAGCTGGTCTTTACGGCGCTCACGCTCATCTGATTCAACACAAAGTCATCAACCTCATATAATTCGGACAATTTAATATCTTTATCACATTTGAGTTCATTATGAATTCATTAAAAATACCTGGCTTTGAAACAAAAAAAATTACAATTAAATAGCAGCAATCCCCTATCCGTTGTCTCCTGCCCCACAACAGACAATAAAAAAATCTTCGATACAAGAATTGTGAACTCGTTCACTTACTCAAACTCTTTTTTTATCTGTTGTTCGTGCATTATACACAAACTATTATTTTTAATTTCATCTTCGACGTTTTTAACTGTAGTATTGGATACCGGATCGAGGTGCTCGACTTATGTTTTGACTTTGAGAGTCGAGCACGTGCAATTTTTGACTGAAGTTCCGCGGTCGAGAAGCAAGTCGAAACACATCCGATTTCGGTCAAAAAAGTCCAAACATAGGTCCGCCCGGAGTTGACCATCTCCAAAAATTTCCCTATTACAGAAAATGTCATGAGATTTGTAGGAAGTTTCCGCTATCTTACAGCGTTGTTATGAAAAAAGTTCTGAAGATAGAAACTTTTTCCTAAAACTCAAAAAAAATCACCAAAAGCACTTTGAATTGTTTCTATACCGTAATAACAGATATAAATCAATATTAGAATAATTTCGTTTTTTTTTTTTCATTTTGATGCATGTAAAAATTTTCAGATAGTGTATAAAATGTATACATTTGAACAAAAAAATCGTAATTAGTGGTTGAAAATTATTTTGGAGATATTCAAAAAACCAACTTCGACAAATAATGTCATATAATTTTGGACGTGTTGTATGTGGTGTTCAGGTATATACAGTCAAAGATTCTAAAAATCAGCAAAAAACTATTTCTGTAAGGGTAGTGTTTTTCGGTAAACCTATGTAACAAACGAAATTAATGGGCTACGAGTTTCCGTTATTGTACCTTACGGAGAACTTTGAAAAAAGCAAACAAAAAAGTCATTGAATTAAGTATTTTTAGCGTTGTTTAAAATATAGTACTTTTTTCGAAGATTTTAACTAATTTTGAATTTGAAAGAGAGCAAAAAAAATCAATGTGCACTGCAAAGACCGCCATCCGAAAATTGCAATCAGCATGAATCATTTGAGGAAGTTTGCTTATCGCTAAGTCGAACACTTTGTTGTTGGGTCGAGACAACCGAAACACACCAAAATTTGGTCGAGAATCACGAAACATACCGAAATGTGGTCGAGACGGTCGAAGCATACCAACTTTTGGTCGAGAAAGTCGAAACATAGATTGAGCACCTCGATCCGGGCTTTTGGCTAGCGTGAAAAAGCTTGCTTTTCTTTTCAGATGTAGACTGAAGAAGCGTCTGAAGAAACAGTAAATGCTTACTTGTGAGTGAGAGTTCTTTATGTAGGAGGTCCACTTGTGACTGCAACTCTAGAATCTTCGCCTCACTCTCCGAGTTCTTGTCCAGCAATTTGTCCAGTTCCGCTGAAAACGCAATTAAAAATTGAACCCTTAAAAAACCTGACTGCGAATAACGGTTCGATGAACTCTATGTTGTTTCGTGGAGTGAAATAGCTTATGATGTCAAGGAAACTAATTGTTCAAGATTCGAGCTATTAGATATAAAAACTAATCCTCTCTCAAAAATTGGACTGCTAGCGATATATATATTTTTTGAATCAACCAATCTTTTTGGGTTCAAAACGATGAAACTTGATAATATAATTACAATTGATAAGATCAACTGGTTTTGATTATAACAATTTAGTTTCATGCCACTAGTATTCAAGTGGTTGTTACGTTTGAGGCTGGACAGGTCGGCTGAACAATCCATGGCCTTCTCCCTCCACTCCTTGTTTTCCTTCTTCAGATTCTGCTCACTGATCTCCAGGTCCTGCAACACATTCATAAACACTGCTAGCACAGAAAAGAATCGCAATTATCAAAAGACAGCAAAACTGGCACGTTTTTCTCCTCAATATTTCGCGGTTCAGTAATTGATTCAGTAATTAAAGTGGGACGAAATTAAGTGAGGGAAGAAATTATGGTTTACAAATCCAGATAAAATTACCAGACTCTGACCTTGATCTGGGTGGCCTGTTGTTGGCTATTCTCGTTCAGCATGAGCAGTTCTGCATTCATGCTCTCTATCTCGGCACTCTTCTCATTCAACACCCCCACCAACTCCCTCTCCCGCCCCTCCAACTCCTCCAGGGTGCCACTCATCTCACGCACACTCCTGTTCAGCTGGCTGTTCTTATCCTGAACCACACAACATGCAGTGAAGAAGAGTGCTGTTTCGACGGAGTCGCATAAGTGCATGACGAGAAGAAACTATGACTAGTGTTTTTTCGCCTAGCCTCTTTTATTTATAATCAACCCTTTAGTTTTCATTCTTTTTTGAATATTTTAATTTTAATTTTCCGCAAGTATTCTTTATTTGAAAGAACTTTTGATGTTTATTTTACTTTTAATGGAATCAGAAGAATTCAAAAACATCATTAAATCTTTATCCTATTATTAATTAAAAAGAAAAAAATATATGTAGTCAGTACCTCTAATTCACGGAGTCTGGTGGCGTTGGAGGTGCACTCGTCTACGGAGTTCTGCAGCTGTATCTTGATGGACTCCAACTCACACTGCTTCGCCTCCTCCTGCGACTCGCACACCTTCACCTGATTGGCCAACTGCTTAATCTGCTCATTCTTCCTACTCAGCTCTCCTGCAGATAAGGAAAGATAAAAAAAGGTTCAAGCAACCACATTCTTTACAAGAGAAGCAAGTTTTAATATACCATTGGACATCTTCCAATTTGAAACATAAAAGATCTTAGTTTGTTTCTTTGAGTTTTGAACTTTGACGAAATCAATTTGTAACAGCGCCGAGTTGAAATGGGAACAGATTTTTTACTACGTTAAGATACCCACCAGTTCATGGCCAACCGATCCAAATAACGCATTAAAACTAAAACGAAAAAAAAATTGATTTTTTTTAGCGGCTCTCCGAAAACTTTATAGGAATAGGCTTTTTAGTGTTTCAGAAAAAAAGGTTTCCGACACTCATCTGAGTACACACCTTCGTATTTGGTGCACCTGGCCTCTAGACTGAGCAGTCTCTGCCTGTCCATCTCCCAGGCCTCCAGCTGTCTCCTGTGACTGGCCACCATCTCATTCAACTCCCTAATGTAAAAGTGTTGTCTATCTTGGAGGTCAAACCGACCTGCAAGTTGTTAGTTATTTTTGTAATGATCACTCTTATGAACATTCAGGTCTCTGTCAATGCAAGGCCAATAGTGTACAGACATGACCACAAGTGACGTCATAAATTACAGAGCTTACCTGTCTCTGTCTTTCAACTCAGTGATCAACAACTGCAGCTCCCTCCTCTGCTTCTGGATGGTCTCGTAGTCCAACTCATACCCACCAACAGGTCCAGAAGAGGCCCCGTTCAACAGTCCACTGCCACCACCGCCACCGGGCGATGGAGTGTCGGAGAGCAGACCACCACCACCAGACAGTCTAGAGTAGGGTTTCTGGAAACAAGATTAACAAAAAACAATAATTGAAAAAATAATTTGTATCTATAGAACTGATTCTCGAATATTAAAATTTCAACTGAAATTTCAAACTTGCGACACTTTGGAGAATTAAGAACTTGAAAACATTGCTTTAAACTTATGAAAAGTTTTGTTTTAATTTTCTAAAAACAAAATGTATACCGAAAAAATTACAAATCGATAACTTTGAAGATCGAACCGTATCGACAGGTCCGTTTCTGACACTATAACTTCTAGTTGAATAACTCCTATAAACAGGATTATAACCCCCAGCACAGTAATAACCAGAGGATTGTCTATTCGCTCCACTTTCAATTTTGCCCTCGTCTCGATCGTGAAAATTATCAACGGAATTTTCCATAGTCGAAGTTTCTTTATGAACAAAGTTCTGTGAACTCTTCGTTTGGACTTGTTGAATAGAATGGCTGTTTAGAAAACTCTGGGTTTTCTCCGACATTTCTCTGACCAAATCTAAAGTGTACTCTAATCTGGAGGATAAATCTCTGGCAGTCAGCCGACAACTATCACCATCAAACGGATCAAAATAGCTTTGAATAGCAGATGTAGATTCTTTTCTTGATGATGGCTTGCAAAAAGCCTGGTTTAAGTTTTCCAGGTGCTTTTCAACAACAGGAAAGGAATGTGGATATGGAATTTGGTCTTTCAAATTGACATCTTTAGCTCGACAGCTGCAGCAAAAACTGGGACTCCTTGGAACCTGAAGTTCCGACGTTGCGTTCAGTTCCGTCTTGAGAGGAGAATGTTTCGCTTTTCTGAATTATGTGCACTTTTTACTTCGTTGATCAAGACAGTTTGGCTGAAGCTCGAATTTTGTTCACGGCTAAAAACTAACCGGTGGTACTAATAAATAGGAAAAAGGGAAACCGTTTGGCACCAATAATTGGAAGTTGGTCTAGTTTATATGTGCTATGTCCTGGGATTTTGCAATGGTGCCATGCATAAAACATAAGAGTAATACGGACTACAGGGGAAAAGCAGAGGTTGATGTAATGGTTTGTGGTTGTTATGAGTTGTGCTTTTTGTTCTTAGTTTACGGCTCTTGAGTAGCAGGTGAACTGCTGGCGAAATCGCGATGTCATCATGGTTTTGCCTGCAGATCTATATAGTCCATGTTATGTATTATTGATTCATTTGAAAGAAGATCGTTCAATTAACAGAAGTTGAAATAAACATAATTGATAAATTGGTCACAAAAAATGACTAATGAAAGCATGTAATTGAATATAAAACTTCTTGAAGTTTGATAGCATGTTTTGAATAGAGAACTTCTCAAAGAAGTGTTTAATGTGAGTTTTATTATCTTCGATTGATTGATAAAATTCTAATTTTTTTCTAATTGAGACACAGCACGTTTTTATTAGGTAACTCCCATAAATTTAAATAAACAATTCATGTAGGAAAAAACGTATGGAAAAAAAAGATGATACAATTGCACGATAAAAGAGGCCCTAGCTATAAAACATAATTTAGCGGACCATTATAGAACGAGAAATGAGATATGTTCAAAATTGAACTGCAAAGACAAATATATTGAGTTGTTAGAGTGCTGTTGTGACTCGGTAATCAATACTTGATGAATAAAATGAAAGGTGCTCTGTTTATGATCATTTTTTATGATACCATAAAACAATTAGAGAAAAATTGAGCTGATCCCGCTGATCTGCAATTGCTTTAACAGCTGGATCATTTCAGCTTTTATTTTCAGCCATCATAAATTAAAACCAAAAAATCACTGCAAAAAAAATTCAGATGGTAAAAATCAAACCAATTTTGAAGGGTCAAGATTAATTTAGAACTCATTGTGATGATGCAACAAACCGAATCGCTTTTGGATGGCTTACAACTACGCTTGAACAATAGTTATTTGGAAATGAAAAAGCCCTTAAATGACAAAGCTGCTGAAGACCCGAATAATTGCCAGCCCAGAAAAATAATCAAAAATTGTATGTAGTTCTTAAGCAGGGGCACAACAACGGTTCGCCGTGATGAGCTCGAGTACAGCTCGTATGTTGGTCCTTTCCCTCGTGGATAAATGGTATTAAAACATTTTTTTCAAAGTCAAACAAAGCTTTGAAACATAAGAATTAGAACTTTACAAAAAGAAAGTTGGCATAAAAACAGGGGAATCAATTCAGATCCATTTTTTTCCTAATCGGGTTTTTTCAAAACGTAGTTTTTTAAATCCGAATTGCAAGCGAAACTTTTTAACTGAAGTTCCATATAATCTTTTTTTGGTTCACTTGAAAAGTGACATAAAAACATTTTAGAAATCCAATTTTCTGTTGGAATTTAGCATCAAATTGACGTATGCGATGTTTGAACTTATATACAAGAGTGTTTCCGATCAATTTCAGAAAAAAACCTATAACAAAAAATTTTAAGTTATGGTTTCAGTGTATAATTTCCTCCGTTGCCGTAATTTAAAAAAATAGATTTTTGAAGACAATTTTATTCTCCAGATAACTGTCAGAGTAACAATATAATTTCGATCTTAATCAACTGCTACTACTTTGAAAGAATCAGCGACTAAATTTCAATTTAAAAATTTTTTCAAAAATGTGATCAAAATTTGATCCAGCTTTGCTAAGATCAAGGAAATTTCTCATTAAAAAAGTAGGAGTAATCGCTTATAAAAAAAATGAATATAAGTTTATCAAAACGATTAAAACAAAAAAAGGAAACAATGATTTTTGTCGATCAACAAAGCAGCAAAAAGAAAACTTTTTAAAATGTATGGGATAGCCAATGAAAAGTAACAAATATATGTTTGAAAGGTTGCATTTATAAAAAAAATAGGGTATTTAACACATACATGCTTTTTTACAGAAACAGTGTGAATAAGAATCAAAGTTTCAGTTTTTTTCGGATTACAAACAAATGTGGAAAATATATCCAACGAAAAAAGCATCAGGTACAAATGGTACGAAGAGCTTGAACGAAAACTTTTTAGTTGCCCTGGCTTTGTTTCCTACAACTAGAAGAGTTTAATGAACCTTAACAAAACAAATTGAATGTTTAAAAAATTAAAAGTTAACAATATTGCTTGTCGAACGACACAGCTGAAGAAAATATTATAAACTGCATTCAATGGCCATTGAAATGCAACAAAAACTATTTTCGAAAGGTTTCGCTGATAAATAAACATCGAATAGCGTTTTTGATTACATATATAACTATTTTGATGTGAATCTAAATCAAGCAGAAGTATTGAGCAAAATCATAGTGTTTTGTACGAACTCAATTTCAAATTTAAACAATTAAGAATTTTCTTTTGTAACATCTCATAAAAAACGATAAGTGTAAAGCATAAATATAGAAGCACCATCAATGAGACTCAAAGCTGCTAGTTTTTTTCTGTTTAAAAACAAATGAGGAGAATATATCCCACAAAAGAAAATTTTAGTTAAACGTGCTACATGAACTTAAAACGAAAAAATTGATTTGAAGCGACGAAAAATTTTGAAGGCAATTTCAATTTCCAGACAACTGTCAGTGAGTTATTATGAAAGAGTTCTACATTTGAAAATCATATTTACAATCAACAAGTTCTAGAAAGCGAGTTCTTCGTCGCTCCAGTTTTGCTGAATAAATTGACTCCAAGAAAACTCTCAATCAAAACTGGAGAAATCATAGTTAAAGGAAATTGGAATAAACTTTTTTAAAAACATTGTTAGCTTTGTAATGATATTTGTTACACCTTTTTAAGCTTAGATTTGTTTTATACTAACTTTGAGCGGTGCTGATCTTTTCAAGATTTCAAGAATTATTCATTAAGCTATTTCTTTGCTCACGTTTTATACCAGATTTGACGAGGTAATCATCAAGCTAGTTTTTTGCTAACATTTTTGTTACATTTTTGCAACAACAAATTTTGTAAAAAAAGATTGCAAACCTTCAGGGGGCTGTTTTTCAGCTAAGGTTTTCAAATAAAGAAAATGATGATTTGAAGCGAGCTTCTCGTTCCGATATTTTAAAAAATAGGAAGAAACTTTGTATTCGGCTGTATTTCAGTGTTTTTTGTTTTTCAAACAATCGAGCAGCCTTGTAGAAGGTTGAGCCTTGACAATTAGTTTTACGTTTTGAAGGTTTTAGAGTCAATTTTGGAATAAAAACATCGAAAATTACAAACCTTTTTCAAATTTTGTTTTTGTTTTCTTTTCTAGTCATTTTTTGACAAAAACTAATTTTTTTGTTTTACTGTGACGGTCGAATATAATTAAACATCATGTTTCCTTCCATTTTTTTCGTCACAACACGCACAGAAAACAACAATTACGTGAGCAAAATTGAAACAAATTTTCATCTCGTTTTGTCAGAATTTTTTCTGCATTCAGTTAACCTTACTTTCTTTTAAATTTTTCATCTTCGCTGGGAGTCAGTGATTTCTACGTTTAGCTTCTAGCAAGTTTTATCAGATGGCCAAAATTAAATACGTTCACTTTTGGACTCATTACGAGGGTAAACTGTGCACTCGATCCACAATTTTGTGTCTGTATGTTTCTGGATTTTTATGACAAGTCTTTAAACACCGATCAAAGGAAATAAAAAAACAAAAGAACAACAAAAGGAGAATTTTTGTTGCAGAACCCGTTTACAATTCAGAAAATGCACAATTATGGCCTCATAATCCGAATTCAAGAAATGATTACTTGAAATGAGTTACCCTACAGGTCTTGAATACCAAGTTTTTAAAGCAATGAAACTTTAAGCAATTAAGCTTCAGCTATAACAAAATTTTTACTCAATTATCATTTGACTTCTGTGAGCAAAAATTGCTCAAGAAAATATTTTAAATCTTTTAAACGCACTCCATGAACTAGCAAAAAATTATCTGCGTTTGGTGATTTGTCAATAATTTAATTGCATAGTTTAAGTTGAAATCGATTTAAGTTGTAAAAAAGTAAGTTAATCAAAAAGAAAACTTCAGATCGATTTGGATCGATTTTAAATCGTTTTAAATCGATTTAATTTAAGCGCTAAAAAATCAATTTCAGTCGATTTTACATTGATTCGAATGGATCTTAAAAATGACCTTAAATGAAATCTATTTAAATCGATTTTTTTTCGCTCCTTTTTTTCTTCAAATTTTCGAATGACAGAAAAAATGAAAACTTTTGTTACGTGTCGTTATAGATACCAAAAATGACTAAAACGCTTGTGAAAACAAGATCCACCGTACCATCAGCCCCCCCCCCCCACCCCACCCAATTCTTATCCCCCAATCCCTCTCCCCCAATTCTTATCCCCACCACCCATCAGTTATACCAGATATAATTTTTTCCTCTAAATTGATTAAATTAGACACCTAAACCGATCCAAAATTTTCAAAAAAGATCGATTTTAGATCGCTTTGAAATCCATTTAAGTTCGTAAAATGTACATTGTTAATCAATTTGGATCGATTTAAAATCGATTTAAAATCAATTTAAATCGACCGGAAACCATTTCTGTCAGTGCGGGTACTTTTTATTTAAAAAAAGATAATTTCATCTTTTCTTCGATTTTCTTAATTTTTCTTGTTTTTCTGTTGTCTGGTTTCAAGTAATACGCAATTTACTTGCGTAGAAAACGTTCAGAAATCAGTATTAAATTTTATTTTAATTTCTTCATTCGTTACCCGGGTTTTTGCCCAACATCCGATTTTCAATGTTGATTTTTTTATGACTTCAATGCATATTTTTGAGATCAAAATCTGGTTTATTTTGAAAATTTTCTTGACTTTTTACATATGTCAATGCACGAAATCTGATTTTCTAGATTTTCGTTGCATAGTTTTGAGCTCAAAATCTGATTTATATTAACATGTTTTTTTTTATTTCTTGAATTCTAAAACATCTGGCTAAAACATCTATTGAAAAAATCAAAATTAAAGTATTTCAATTAGTTTCTAAATAGCATGTTTATTTTTGCTTTGTTTGCAAAAAATCGATTTTAGTGTGTAGGAAAATCCATCGCAATCGATTTAAATTGATTTTTTAGACACTTGAATCAATTTTAAATTTTAGATTTAAATAAATGGATTTAAGTGAGATTCTGATGGATTTAAAAGTTATTCGGGTGGATTTTATTGAGTCGGAAAATCCATCAAGACGATTTAAATCGATTTTTTAGATACTGAAATTAATTTAAAATTTTCGTTTAAATTTTTTTTTTAATTTTCAGATTTAAAGTTTTTTATTTAAATCCATTTAAGTTTGTAAAATGTACATGGTTAATTGAATTGGATTGATTTAAAATCGATTTAAAATCAATTTAAATCGACCGGAAATCATTTCTGTCAGTTGTCAGTTGTCAGTGCGGGGTATTCAGACTACAGCGTATTCATACTCGTCAGTCCAGCAGACAAACACTATATTAACCAATCATAATCAAGACAAGAAAGAAATGGTTAATTAATAATTATTTATTTCGTAAGTTTGTTTTCTCATCTCGATTCTGATTGGTTAATATAGAATTTGTCTGCTTACTGACGAGTATGAATACGCGGTTGTCTAAATACAGACCGCACTCCCAGTTCTACGTTCAGATATTGCATGAGAGTGTTCTTCAGGCTTCTATCTACGTTGCCGCAATCAATAGGGCAAAGCAAAAAAAACATCAAAAGAGCAATGCAGAAAAAAACATCAATAGTTCATCAAAATAGTATTATATAAAAAGTTATTCTGTTTCAAGTTTTGTATGGTTGTCTTTGCCTGCTTTTTTCCTTTTCATCCGAGATAGCCAAATCAACGACGGGATTTGATGCTATACCGCACGCATCCATCATTCGCATGTTTTAAGGCACCTTAAATTGAGTTAATTCGACATTTTTGTTCTAACCTGACAGTAGTCATCCATTTGCATTGATTTGTTCTGGAAATGAGGGCCATAGTCCATATGACCATAATCTCCCCCATCCATATATCCATTCCTCATCCCATGGAAGTCACCCGGGTCCATAGGTCCATTCATGGTCTGCCTGGGGACTCTAACGGCACTGGAACTCCTCTGGAACGTCGGATAGGATCCAGATGACAAGGATTTGATCTTTTTCAGGTACTGTGCAAACTCCGGACTTGATGGCTGAAGCTTTTCATGATTCTGCTGTCGCAGTCGTGACAAATGGTTATTAATTTGAGGTCGGCTTCGATATTGTGTCGAGCTATTATGCATTTTCCGAGAAGTTTCTTGGCATGAATTCGATTCGAAAACCGGATGCGGTTCGTGGTGATCTAAATTTCGACTGGCAAATTTCTCGTCTGGGCTATTTTGATCGTAGTGATGGTTGTTCATTTCGAACACTTTTCCGCTGCTTGAAGGAGGCGTACTGTCCATAGCTGAAAGAGAATTAGACCGCTTTTGCTTTCGCATTTTGAAACTAGCTGGAAAACTAGTGTATTACTACTATTTTACTAGGATAAAATTATAATAAATACTCCAAGAAAAAGGCAATAGTTGTTTTTTTTTGCTGTTTTTTTTTGGTTTTCAAGTCTGCGATGGCATTTTACGACAGGGAGTGATTTGTATGGTTATTACAGCACAATGAAGCGTGTAAGGAAATCATCGGTTACTTTTATGGTAAGCTGGTTACGATTTGAGAGCAGAACAATCGGCGCCGTTTTTGCAGCTTAAACAGGCAGGTGCATTTGTACACCACTTAATTTGACCCGAGCAGAGCTGAAGGGTCGAGATCAGCTTACATTTATCAAAATTCGGAAAACTACAACAGGACCATACTGGATTTGGCCAATACTCGATTTATAAGAAAATTATAATGGTAAAAACAAAAAAAAAACAGCACACGAAACGCTTCTAGGCAGTTGTGTAACAAAACATCATTACAAGGCGAAAGGTTGAGTCCATTATTAAGACAAAAACACGTATTTTTATAAGAAAATTATTATTTATTTTATGCAGGGGCGGATCTAGGATTTTCTCGATGGGGGGGGGGTTGTGGCGGATTTTTAAACAAATTTCAAAAGTAAGTTTTGTCGACCTTTTTTTTTAGGTCGACCAAATTGATTTTCTGAGCTCTCCCAAAGCACTAAAAAAAATTTCGATGCGGGAATTTTGAAAAAAAATGCCAAAAAAGGCATTTTTAGGCACTTTCAGGAAAATTTTGACCAAAAAATTGCATTTTTTCGGCGCGCGCTCCCCCCTTAAAATTCAATGCAAAAATAATAAAAGGATCTTGTTAACTATATCCCCTATTTTTGGACCTTGTTAACTATCCCCCTATGCATGTATTATTTTTGACAAGCAATTTTGCCTTGCTAGCTAACTCAATGCTGTTTATTTTGTCAATATATTCATAATTTTTGTCATATATTCATAATTTTTTCAATCACTTTTTACCTTTCTGAAAAATTCAATGCAAAAAAAAACAAACGCTTCTTTTTAACTGTTTCCCCCACTTTTGGATCTTGTTAACTATCTCCCCCCCCCCCCCCCCCCCCCCCCCTATGCATGTATTATTTTTGACAACCATTTCTGTATAAAATATGCATTTCAAAAGTGTCAACAATTAAGTGGGTTTTCATTTTCGCGCGCTCGTGATATTTGTATTACTAACTATTTATATAATGCTTACATAAAAATTTTAAATTATAAATATTTTCTGAAAATTGTCTTAAGCTATTGAAAATGTGGCAGCCAAAGTTAAATTTCTGAAATCGAAATAGGGGGGGGGGATAGTTAAAAAGATCCAAACAAAAAGATAATTCGAAACGAACACAAATAGCAGCGCAAATATCAGAGAAAAATCCGTCCATTTGAAAAGTTTTTCTCTTTTGTGCTCATTTTTGCGCGTAACGTGAGGGAAAAAAACGAAAACCGCTAATTGTTGTAAATCAATCATAAGCAACAAAAACTGTCTGTATGAAATTGAATTACAAAACAAGAAAATTTTGAAAATTTTTCTTTGTTTTGAAGGGTTTTTGAAAATTTTCATTTTCAGGAATCCGCTTATTAAAAACTTCAAAAACTTACTTTCATGGAGAAAAACAAATTTTTTCGCGAAAAATGATTTTCAATTAACAAACGATTTTAACACGCTTCACTCTATCAAAATTTCAAACCCGTTTTTTTTGTTTAACACTGAGTGAATTTTGCTTCATATAACCTTCTGACAGTTCGTATCTAGCGGTAGGTTTTTACTAGTGCATGCATCTTTTTCGAACCCGATTAATCCAACAAAACATCATGCTCAAAATGTTTCATGCTCAGCCGAAAAAGTTTCATGTGTTTTTGTTCCACTAATCATTCCGACTTTTGAAGAAAAATACGCAATATTTGTGCTCTGCGTGGTTTGTTTTCAGCATCGACTTTTGAACTAGCAATTTTCGTAGATTTTTTCATCCAAAGAAAACAGTGTCTTGAGCTCAAGCATAAAAAGACAAGGATAAGTGACCTGCATTATTTTTGTAAAATTATAGGGGGTCTAAAAAGGGCCAATTCGGTTAATGTTGGACAATTAGCGCGTGTTATATTCGTGCTATCAAAGGCGGAGACTTAATCCGTCTTTTAAATTGTTCTAAATTGACTTGAAGCATACTTTTGGCCAATTAAATTTTTTTCTCGTTAAAAAAATTTTTGGTTCACAATGCGTTTTTGAGGTATGGTTGAAAAAATCTCAAAATGTTTTGTTTTTCGAAGCTGTTCAATTTCATCAACTTTTCAAAGCAAACAATACTCCATAGACTTTGATAGGCAGTCGAAAAATTCAGGGTTTCGCCGTGAAACGAGAAGTCTTTATAGCTTTTGAAACTGAACCGTTTTTCAACGACAAGATACTAGTCGCGTAACATCCTTCCATTCTAGCAAGGAAGTCATTCTTTAAAAACTTTTGGAAAAACTTTTGAAACTTTGGAATTTTATGATGTTAATCAAAAATTGAGGGTCCGAATTTTCTTATGGGACGGGACCATTTTTTTTGCTATTTTATCTGACAATCTTTTGCCCTATTTAAGACTTAAATTCTCTCCAAAGATTTAGCAGAATAAATGGAAAATGTGCTCAAAGTAGGCAAAATTTTTAGTTAAAAACTTGAAACGGTCAAAGTTTATTTATTGGTGATGAACACTAAGACCGTGAGTTTTAGAAAACCCCAATCAACTTAAAAAGTGAGTGGAATCTAAATAGGTAATGGGGGGGGGGGGGATAATGGCGAACAAATATTCGAAAAAAATGGAATTTCTTCTGACTCAATGGAAGAAATGTGAGCGCATTTTTAGGTTATTCTTTTGGCTTTATTGATGATTTCGAGCAGATACTTCAATATGATTTTTAACTGGAAAATTGAATAAAAAAACTAAATATTTGAAACTTTTTTGTCAGTTTTAATTGAATCAATGGTATCTGCAAAACTTTAACAAAAAAAGCTGAAAAATTTGAAAAAAAAAACGACTCATACCTTGTTTTATGTGGATATAAAACTTCATTGCAATGAAACGACCCTTAGAATGGAGAGAGTACTATTCATTTCCTTGATAATTTTGAGCACAAAGGCCGTTCACTTCATCTCTTGGCCGTTTTTTGGCCAATCCGAACCCAATAGATAGTCTTTATTGAAATGATGAGCAGAAATTGAAATGATGAGCAGAGTATAAGAATATAGAGATAAAACGAAATTTAATTGATTAATCATATACGGTCAATTTGACCATATGCTAAAAAGACTAGCACAGAATGTTCCGATCATATTCATAGAAACTGCAAGTAAATGTTCTTCAAATTAAAATTTTTTCAAATTGATGTCGTTTTTTATTGCGCGTGGATTGATGAAAATACCAATTGAAACTTTTTTGTCAGTTTTAATTGAATCAATGGTATCTGCAAAACTTTAACAAAAAAAGCTGAAAAATTTGAAAAAAAAAAACGACTCATACCTTGTTTTATGTGGATATAAAACTTCATTGCAATGAAACGACCCTTAGAATGGAGAGAGTACTATTCATTTCCTTGATAATTTTGAGCACAAAGGCCGTTCACTTCATCTCTTGGCCGTTTTTTGGCCAATCCGAACCCAATAGATAGTCTTTATTGAAATGATGAGCAGAAATTGAAATGATGAGCAGAGTATAAGAATATAGAGATAAAACGAAATTTAATTGATTAATCATATACGGTCAATTTGACCATATGCTAAAAAGACTAGCACAGAATGTTCCGATCATATTCATAGAAACTGCAAGTAAATGTTCTTCAAATTAAAAATTTTTCAAATTGATGTCGTTTTTTATTGCGCGTGGATTGATGAAAATACCATACACACGCGCAAGTAGTTAGTAAACAAAGCATAATTGACAACAGTTGCCTTCAAAAAATAGCAAACTAAGAAAATGAAAACAATTTAAAAAAATCAATTTTTTTTTCTTTTTTTTTGCAATATTTTGAAATTTTTTTGCGGAAACTTTTTTGTTAGGTCAATGGCAAAAAAGTTTTCAAAACTAGTTTCGTTTAGAGAAAATCATTTTTTTAGCCTAAATGACCTATTTGACCATTTATCATCTCTTTATTTATTCGCTTTATTCGGTGGAAACTAGACGAAAAATACAAAACTTCAAACAGGGTTTCTCAACACTGGGAAATTTTTTGAAAAATCTTAATGTCGCTTGAATCACGACTGAAAAGGTTTAATCTGATTAATCACTCGACTTATTCCGATGATTATTTGTCGTACCTGATTTTGCGTGGAAAACAAAAAAAACCTAAACACACCCGAATACAAAGTTCCTCCTGCTGACTCATTTTTTAAATGGTCAGAACAATAAACTTTTTTCATAATAAGTCGATTCAGGGTACTTACTGTATTTGTTGAAGTGTTCGTCGTAGAAATCAGGCGACGGGGGGAGGCTGTTTGCCTGCTGGTCGGGTAAACTCATTTTGTTCACGTCAGAAGAGCCACAGTTATTGTGACACGAATTATTTTTATTACAAGTTTCACATCTGCCCGTGTATGCCTTACGTTGGTGCTCGGCGTTATCTGCGCTGGTTTTTGAACACTGATTGATAAAGTTTTCCGGATTTTTAGAGTGATTTGTAATTTCACTCGGGTAAGGTTGAGGAGTACTTACAGATCGATGCTCGCGTTCATGTGTGTTTCGATAACACGTTGATGACGAATTTTTACCATCTGAAAAATTCGCACTCGATTTATAAAAAGCGTCGCTATATTTTTGGCTGAGTGTGTTCGTATATGAAGCAGCATTGCATTCCGTTTTGCCTCCTTTTAAACAACTACTTGGACGGGAACACAAAGTTGTCATTGATAAAAAATTAATTATTTAAATCAGTTCTTATTTAAAATTTGTGTGCGTGCTAGGTAGTCTTAAAATACCTCAAAATTGAACAAAAAAAATTGAAAAGAAAGTTGCATTTAAATATTGGTTACGACGAACTAGAAAATATAAACAATACGGCGCATGAATAAGAATGTGAGCAGAAAAAATTAGATGAGCTATAATAATGCGCTTTTTTTAACTGTGGATGAAATATTTCAATGCTCATCCTGCATTTCAATTTAAAAGCTGATTCACAGACAGGTGAAAGTACGGAAGATGCGATTTGTTCTTCTCTGTAACTTCTTTGTTCCTAAAGCGAAAACAGACGCTGTTATAATGTATAGTGTTTCCTATGACTTATAGAGATATTAAAAACTGATGCACATTTTTTTCAATCCGGTTTATTTGAGAAATTGTTAAGACTGATGAAATCTAGATATTAAAAAAACAGAGGACATGAATACCAAAAAAGTGTGAAAAAGTGTCAAAAATTATGCGAAACAGACTTCGTTGAATTTCAAAACTTCTCTCTAATTGGAATTTCAAACGGCAAAATTCCATTCCAAGACTATCGAAGTATTGTTATCCGGAAAACTTTTTCGAACACCTGGTTTAAATAAGCTTTTGACATTAATATTTGCCATATATGATTAAATACACCATGATACTCTTTTGAAGAGTGATTCTTTTTCATCGTGGCATGATTTTGATCATCAAGAACTGATTGCTGGAAAAAAGTGTCTCAGTCAAAGTTAACTCATTTTTTCTCGTTTTGTTAACCAAGTTGTTTGAAATCGAAGAGTTCAAGCAATTTCAAAATGGTTCATAGTGCTTACGTGTAACATCTTATACAAAGTTTTATCACTCAAATGGATCTGGAGCACTTACATCAGAAATAATGTTCAGTCAGAACAAAGCATCAAATTGGCGACAAATTAAGTGTCTGTGTTTTCTACGTGTCGCATGACGCTCACATCTGTTAATGGTCAGAATCTAATTTTTTGACAAGTTCAATTTCATTCCATTTCGAATTAGGACTTTTCAAAATTGATTTTTTGAAAAGTCTTCTAAAGCTATTCAGATTATTGTCATGCATCAAAACTAGATGCGTCTCATTTTTTGACACTGCTTTACTATTGAGCTATCAAAGAATATATTTTTTAAAAATTGTTTCTCCTCTCCTCTCAAAGAGCCGAATCAAAGAGGTTTGTTTGGCACAGTGATAGATACCCGTCGTTTGCAAGTATCTATACAAAATATTGTATATGCTCGGGTAGTTTTTTCTTCATTTTTTAATAACACCTCAGTTCAATGGGAACTTTGACACGCTGGATTCATAAATTATTTGCCCTTTATTAGCATTTGGCTCCTTGGTCAGAAGCACAAATACTGTGAAATTTACATTCCGATGGAAAAAAGATTTTTAAACTAGGTTAGATTTTTTTCTCTTCTGACTTTTCTGATGAATGAAGCTGTAAAGCACAATCCAACGTCACTGTTCATCCGGAATAGTAGTCAGAACTTATCATCCGAAAGGTAACTTTCTCGACATTGACTCAAGTCAAGATGAAAGCGCCCCATGCTGAGAAGTTTTTGCCATCCACAATCACCTCGTTTCGGCAGGGCTAGCATAATTTCATTCAAGTCTACCTTCGACTCGGAAGATTACCCTTTTCAACAGACATCGTTGTCTGCTTCTTTCAAAATTGCCCCTAAAGACAACAGAGAATAAAGAATTTTGATCAAGAATAAAACGAATTGGCCAGCTGTTGACCAAAAGTAGTACCACACAACAATAACCAGCCGAAGTATATACCAGCAAAAAAAAACATAACTTTTTTTAACTAAATTAACAAATTTAACTATTGTTATTATATAACAGTTACAAGAACTATGCAAGTTTCACTTTATGACTTATTTTTCGGCTGGTATGAATATTCTTTGCAAAATAAAATTTACTTGATTTATAATATACTCTGTTCATTTTGGCTGGGTTTCTTTGGCCAGTTCTTTCACACTCAATTTATTATCGTTCCAACCATTGAAAATGGAAAGAAGCTGCCTGTTTGGGTGTGTTTTTTCCCGCGCAAAAACAGGTACCACAAAAATTATGGGATCATAGTTGAGTGATATATCAGAGTAAAACCTTTTCCGTGGCGTTTCGAACGACAACTAAAAAATTTCAAAAAGTTCTCCCAATGTCAAAACCGTTTTGAACGTTTTGATTTTCAATCTAATTTCTAGAGATTAAATCCAATAACATTAATTATATGGAAAAAGTTCTTTTATGCTAAAAATCACTGGATATTGGCCAAGAAAAATTAGTTTTAAAAGCTTCCTTAGCGCTTTTTTGGCAATATAAATTTAATTTTTTAAAAAGATAAAATTCTTGTGGAAAAAATAGAAAAAAAATAAGAAGTTTCTTCGAAAAACTTTTTCAGGTATTGATCATTCATTTGATTGAGACAACTGTTGTCGATTATACCTAATTCATTAATTTTCTACGCGTTTGCCTAATTTTTTTCATGAAACCACGGACTAAAAAAGTTACTATTTTTTACTATTGAAGAAGTTACTATTGAAGAACAAATGAAAAACTTTTTTTTTGTAATTTTCATATGTAGCACAATGATGGAAAACATTAATGTTGCGTTGATGAAACAATGATGACTCAGCGCTAGAAACCTTTTTTGTCAGCAACTAATCAGGGATGTTGTATCGACAAATGAGCAATAACCGTGTTCATTATCCAAAGAATTCATATTCAATTTTAAAACAAAATGCGGTTTAAAAAGTATATTTTTTGGTTTATCATGATAGTTGGTTATGATGTTTAACAAAACAAAAGTAGGAGACTATTTGAAATTTTAATGCATTGTAGACAATGGGGCCTAGGAAATTAGACGATAAGCAAATTAGACGGATGCTACAAAAACGAAATTAGATGGAATTTATATTTTACAGATCTGACATTTTAGACGTGAAAGCTATGAAAAGGAAAGGGCCAACAAAATTTTTTCTTAATAGCCAAGTTTCAAAAATACAAAAAGAACATTAAATGTCAATAACTATCAAAACAATTAGTTTAAGAGAACGAAAAATGTCAAGTCCGAATACTACAAAAGAATTTTGAATTGAATAAATTATGCATGATTGACTTGTAAAATCTTTGACTACCAAAATTTAACTGTTGTCAACAAACAATGATATTTTTTCGCGCAATTTGTCTGCAAACAATTTTAATCTCTCTCACCTTCGCCTATTTTCTCACAATTGCAGTTTTGCAAAATCGTCTATATTCCTTTTAAGTACCTCCGTCTAATTTGCTTATCGTCTAATTTCTCAACTCAAGCCCCGTAGACAATATATATTTCTGCCCTATTAGTTTCCCTAAAACATATATACCAGACAAATTGATATAACAATATGTAATTGTAGAATTATATCAAACCTATATTCCTGAAAGTTATGGCGCGCAGTAAACAACTCATTTGAAGTGGTTACTGCTCATGGCATTACTCTTGCGGATTTCTTTCTGATAGACATTTTTCTATCAAATTGGTTTGCTCAACAAACATGTCCAAAAAAATTGAATTAGTCGGTATTCTTGATGTAAATAGTCAATGTAAATGTGGATGATATCTAAGTTTTTTCTCAACCGCCTACTCAAAAAAGCTTAGCCAAACAATTTTAAAACTTAAATTAACTTGATGTTATTAAATTATGATGTATATTGCTTACTATACTGCTCAATTTTTTGCTATCATATAGAAATCAAAGCTTTTCGTAAGTTTTTTTGCCCATTGAATTTTTTTGAAGATTGATTCAAGCTCTGGAAATAAATAAAAAGCATTTATAAATACGGTAAAATGAATTAAAAAAGAATATTTGATTTTTTGTTTCTTGATTCAAGCGCTGGAAAAGAATGAAAAAGAGCACAATTTTTTTGCTTGCAAACACTTAAAGAAAACAATTTTAGATATGAGAACAACTTGAAAAATTTTAAAAAGTCTTTACTGAAAAACTTATTGGAAAACTAAAGTTGCTGTGAGCAACCTAACTAATTTAACATTTTTTTTGCTTCGAAAACAACCTTATTTCTAATGCTCAAGCGGTTGCCTGAAAAAAAACTTTTGGTTTTTTGCTAATATATGGAAGCTAACTATCCAACTTAGTGTGTTTCGAATAACTAAAACCCAATGGCTTGCTTCAAACTTTTCAAATTTACGATTTTCATCTCAAGTCCAATTCTCAAGTCCAATACAATTTTAATCAGCTAGAATTTCCACTGGTCAAAAAACTACGGAAGTAAACTTTTTTTTTCAAACCAGCTTCTAAAAGCAACTTTCTTGATTGTTTTAAAAATTTTTTAACGAACAGTTTCTTATATCGCATAACAAAAATTTTTTGCGAACCAATTGAATTTTTGACAAAAAATCTGGGACGTCTCAAAATTTTATGAGCCAATCGCTTTCTTGACGTGAATTTTACTATTCCTTGCTGAAAGATTTTAGTTATGGGAAAAAAACGTTCACTATTACAAGTTTTCAACGCTCAATTCTATTCCATGTATAATCACGGCTAAAATAACTTCAATTTTTGACAGATCAGATTCAAAAAGAGAATAATCAAAAAGAGAAGTTGAAAGTTAATACAGAAAAAGAAAAAACCATAGTTAAGAGATTCAAAAAGAGAAGTTGAATGTTAATACAGAAAAAGGAAAAACCATAGTTATGACGAAATAAAAAAATTGTTAATTTACTTAGGATTACTTCATTTTATTTTACTAATAAAATAGTTAAATTTATGCAGTCTCACAGTTTTTGTTTGTCATATAATTGTAAGTGTATCTTTAGGGCATGTTTGTCACGTTTTCTTGATCTTAGACCAGTTTGTTTATATTGTAAAATATTTTGAACCATGATGATTCACAAAAGTTTCGCGATGGTTTGAAATAACAATGCACAATTCTTATCATATCTTAAAATTTGTCAATTCATAATTCCTTGAATAATTCCTTCTTAATGAATTATTTTTGTTTGAATCTATTTAGTTTTCAAAAAGTTGTGAAATATTTCAATTTTCGAACCAATTGGAGTTGTACAATTTCAGTCATTGCGCCTAAATGAAAGTAAATTAACTTTATAACGGAAATTCCATCATTATATGGGAGG